AAAGCGCAGAAAGATATTTTTCTGCTATTCTTTCCTTTCAGCCAAGACCCATCTGACATCAGCAATGAAATCCCTACTGAGAAGGAGGGTTCTTTTTCTCTGGATCTGAAAAGCTTGTTGCAGAAAGTCAAAGACTGTAGTCTTCAATATGGATTGAAGCTTAATATCAAGAAGACAAAGATTCTCATCACTGGGCCAAGTGGCAGCACCATGATAGATGGAGAAGAGATTCAATTACAGCTTGTTAACAATTACAGCTTGCTAGGCTCCACAATCAACATTCTCGGCACAAGAAGTTAGGAAATCAAAAGACGAATTGCACCAGGAAAATCTCCTGTCAGGAACCTCTCCAGAGTATTGAGAAGCAACAATGTCAGTCTAAAGACTTAAGTGTGCCTGATGGAAGCCATGGTCTTTGCAATTACTTGCTATGCATCAGAGAGCTGAACAATGACTAAGGGTGACAGAAGAAGAATTGATGCCTTCGAGTTGTGGTGCTGGAAAAGAGTCTTGAACAAACCATGGATCACCAAGAAAACAAGTCTTGGGGAGGGCGAAACCAAGTTTCTTCTTGGAGGCTAGGATTTTGAAGCTCCATGTCACATACTTTGGGTACACAGCCAGGAGGGTCAGGTCCTTGGAGAAAGACATCATGCTTGGAACTGCAGAAGAGGAAGAACCTAAATGAGATGGATTGATACAGTAACTGAGGCAAAGGTGGAAGGTGTGTCAGTGTCAGTGAGACTGGCTCAGAATAGGGAGGCTTGAGAGCTGTTGTACATACGGTGACTATGAGTCAGAGGCGACTAGATGGCAAATAACAACAATAAGATCCATGTCCAGCTGCAATTTTTTTAAGACTTTGATATAATGGAAGCAAATAATAGTTTAAGGTCATAAGGTTAGAATTTCTAGACAAGCCAATTTTATTTGTTTGTTTATTTCATGGCCCAAATGTATAACACATCTAAGTTACTCATCAGCAAACAAAGTATAAATCACATAATTATTCAGTTGCAGACTATATACAACTGGATCTCTTGAGACTCATTTTATAAGCAATGAAACCAAGACTATGAGATGGTAGGGTTGTACAGCTTGTATGTTACAGAAGCAAGAGCTTTGATCCAAGTCTCTGAATGTTAAGCATAGAGTTTTCACAACTGAATTGTCTTTAAAAATTACCCAGTGAATATTATGGTTAATACAAATTCCTAACTAAACTTAGTAACATGCAATCCTTCCTTACAACCATTTATCACTAAAGTTGTATGTATGTGCATTTTTATAGATCAGAGAGAATATTGTATATAAAGTTACAAATCTTCTTTTCCCCTATTTACTGCAACATGCATTTTCCCAAGTAAGGAAATAATATTTAACATGTGAATATTATTCCATCATATATCGTCCTTAAGTGCCATCAATTGAATTCTGATTTATAATGACCTTGAATACAACAGAACAAAACAGTTCCTGGACCTGCACCATTCTCATCGTCATTAGTATGTCTGCATCCATGTGGCAGGCTCCGTGTCAACCCATCTCATTGAGTATCTTCTTCTTTTTCACTGACCTTCTTTTTTACCAAGCAGGATGTTCTTCTCTAGGTGCTGGTCTTCCTGGCAATATGTGCAAAGAAAATAAGCCGTGCCATGTTACCTTCCAAGAACATTCTGGTTCTAGTATATTTTTGTATACCATATGAATAAAAATAAAACACCATAATTTAACCAACACCCTATTGTTCGTTATAAAAGTACTTAGAAATTTTTCATAACCAGTGCTGAAATAAATATAGCATCAATTATAAGAATATATGTATCAATTATATATATATGTGTGTGTATATATATATATATAAAAACAGGAATAGCATCAAGTCTGAATGTGGGGGAAGGAAGATTGTTACAATATTAGGAGAAGTGGCATGGGTTTAGAATTTAACCTTATCCAAGTAATTTCATCTTTGCTCTAAGGTCCTGCGAGAGAATCCCTAAAACCTTTCAATTTTCCTTATGATTCACATGTCCTCAAGAAAGGTTCCAGACAAGACAGAATACACTAAGAGGAAACCCTTGAAGTAGGGGCTAATCAGATCAGAGGGATTTATTTCATGATAATTACCTCATGGTGACCAGACCAAAAAAATTCCCTTCATGATCACTTTGTGGTACCTGTTCTCAGGAGAGTTTCCCTTACTAGTAATACCCTGAATAAAGTTCTGACCTCTGGGTATCTATAGGCTTCCAGGCTTATATTTTGAAAATTTAAAACTAAACCTGCTTTTGAAGATGCTAATGGAGGAGACAATAGTTGCCATACTGCGAATTTTTCCAGACTTCACTCTGTGCATCTCTTCTTTATATAGATCCTAATTTGAACCTGTTACAAAAAAAAAAAAAAAACCCTATAATCACTAAGTACTTTACATGAGTTCTGTGAGTCATTCCAGTGAAATTTTGAAAGTAAAGGAGGAGAGGGAGTCAACAGGTTAGAAAAGAAGAGAAGATGAATCTCAATATCCCTGAGGGAATTCATTAATTTGAAGCCAGCAAGTCAAAGTGAGGGGAGTCCCAGGTTGCCCAAGCTTATGACTGGTATCCCAAAGAGGAGAAAGGAAAGCCCTACACTTAGAGCTGGCAGGCAAGAAATGTGAGTATCATGAGGGCCCAAAGTGAGGTTGACATCTAAAGTCTTGGCTGATTTGGGAGTCTGAATCCTTTAAACATGTGACCTCTCATCTAGTTCCAGGAGGCTACAAGTCAAAAGAAGAAATGCTGAATAAGCTGATGAGATCAGAACTGGTCAGAGGATTTTTTTTATATCCTTCTGGCCTGTAGGTAAGAAACTGTGCTGCAATTCCATAGGCATGCAGTTCGAATCCACTAGATGCTCCGTGGGAGAGAAATGGGCAATCTCCTCCCAGGCAACTGAAAGTCGCTGGAAGGTCAGTTTTGGGTTGGCTCTCAGTCGAAAGTATACAACAACATCATGATGTTGCCAACTGGCCAGGTGCTAAGAATCTTTGTTTTCTTGACGCTGGGATGCAATATACATGGAAAACTGCAGTATTTGACATTTTGTAGCAAATGCTTAATCTTTCATTTCCGCCAGCAAGGTTCCGTTATCTGCATGTTGTTGTTATTATGAGCCGAGTCGTTTGCGACTCATAGCAATTAGCGACCCTGTGCACAACAGCCCTAAACCCTGCTCTATCCTGCATCAACTGCACTGCCTCTGACACACCCATCCCGATTACCCCAGTCACGGAATCAATCCACATCATAAAGGGTCTTCCCCTCCTGCGCCGTCCCTCCACCCTCCCAAGCATGATGTCCCTCTCCAAAGACCCGTCCCTCCTGGCAACATGTCCAAAGTATGTCAGACGAAGCCCCAGAATCCTTGCCTCCAAGGAGTAGCTTGGTTTAATCCTCTCCAAGATGAATCTGTTTGTTTTCCTGGCAGTCCAGGGGTACATTCAGTACTCTTCTCCAGCACCACAGCTCAAAGGCATCAACTCTCCTTCTGTCCAGTCATTGTCCAACTCTCTGATGCATAACAAGCGATTGCAAAGACCATGGCCTGTATCAGGCACACCTTAGTCTCCAGAGAGACACCGTTGCTCTTGAGTACTTTAGAGAGGTCCCTAACAGCAGACTTTCCCATCGCAATACGTTTTTTTGATTTCCTGGCTGCTGGTGCCAAGAGTGTTGACTGTGGAGCCGAGTAAACGGAAGCTGTGAACAATCTCAATCTCTTTGCCATCCATCCTGATGCTACCAATTGGTCCAGTGGTGAGAATCTTTGTCTTCTTGACATTGAGCCTCAGTCCATACTGAAGGCTGCAGTCCTTGACCCTCCGCAGCAAGTGCATGAGGTCCTCCTCAGTTTCAGCAAGAAGGGTTGTGTCATCTGCATAACGCAGATTGTTAATAGATCTTCCACCAATCCTGATCTGATGCCACAATTCTCCTCATAGAGCCCAGCCCCCGGGATAATCTGCTCTGCACACATGTTGAAAAGGTATGGAGACAGGATGCATCCCTGGCGTACACCCTTCCCAATTTTGAACCATGCAGTGTTAACCCTGCTCTGTTCTGACTACTGCCTCTCTTGGTCCAAGTATAGGTTTCGCATTAGCACAATTAAATGTTCTGGGATTCCCATTCTTCTCAGAGTCAGCCACAGTTTGTTATGATCCACACAGTCAAATGCCTTTGCATAATCAATGAAACACAGACAGACATTCTTCTGGTATTCCTTGCTTTCAGCCAAGATCCATCTAACATCAGCAACAATATCCCTAGTACCACGATACCACGACCCCTTGTAAACCCAGCCTGGACTTCCGGCAATTCTCTGCTGATGTGCTGTTCTAATAACTCAGGTTATTGATGAGTTTTCTTCCAATCCTGATGTCACATTCTTCCTCATAACCTCCTGCCTGTTGAATGATCTGTTCTGCATAGGTAAACTGAAAAGGTATGGAGAAAGGACACATTCCTAAAGCAGACCTTTCTTGATTTTTAACCATCCAGTGTTGCCTTGTTCTGTTTAGATGACTATTTCCTGTTTAATTAGAGGTTTCACATAAGCACAATCAAGTGTTCTGGGATTCCCATTTGTCTCAATGCTAGCCACAATTAGTTGCAATCCACACAGTCAAATGTCTTTGAGTAGTCAATAACTAACAGCAAAAAAAATATTCTTCTAATACTCTTTGATTTTTAAGCCTCCTTAAGTGTAATCCCATCAATTCCTGGGGCCTTATTTTTTGCCAATACCTTTAACACAGATTTTACTTCCTCCTTCATTACCATTGTTTCTTGTTCATATGGTACCTCCTGAAATTTTTCAGTGTCAATCAATTCTTTAAGATAAGGTTATTCTGCCCTCACCGAGGCACCAGGCCAGGGCCTTGAATCCCACCCAGAAGCAGTGGAGACACCTCTCTATCACAGAAGATTTCTGACAGACAGCCTCTGGGCGTGGCCAAGATGCTCCAGAGCCTCATCAGGAACATTTGGGTCCCCATGAAGCCGTACTACACGGAAGTGTACCAGGAGATCTGGATGGGGATGGGCTTGATGGGCCTAATAATTTACAAAATCCGGAGTGCTGATAAAAAAAGCAAAGCATTAAAAGCCTCGAGTCCTGAATCTGCTCACGGTCACCACTGAGCCACTGTCCATTGCTGTGGAGCGAGACGTCAGCCTGGCTGTCAATTCAACGAGCGACGTCTGCGGGACCCTGCCGTGCATGGCTGACCTGGCGCAGCACCGGCCGCCACATGTGCTTGGCATGAATAAATGTGTGTGAGATGAAAAAAAAAATAGATAAGGTTATTCTGTGTATTCCCTCCATCTTCTTTTGATGCTTTCTGGGTCATTCAGTATATTGCCCATAGTATCTTTCAATATTGTGGCACAAGGCTTAAATTGATTTTTCAGAATCGATAGGATAACAATTGACTTGTTTCAATTAACAGATGCAGTCTTGGATGCGCTCATCAGTCTATGCCAGGAAATCTGGAGGACAGCTGTCTGACCAATGGATTGGAAGAGATCCACATTTGTTTCCCTTCCCAAGAAAGGTCATTCAACTAAATGTGGAAACTACTGAATAGTGTCATTAATATAACATGCAAGCAAATCCTGTTGAAGATCATTAAAATATAGCTAGAACAGTACATAGATAGGGAACTGCCAGAAGTTCAACCAGGATTTAGATGAGGCCATAGCACCAGGGATATCGTTGCTGATGTCAGATAGATTCTGGCTAAATGTAAAGAATACCAAAAGAATGTCTATTTGTGCTTTATGGACTATGCAAAAGCATTTGACTGTGTGGATCCTAACAAGTGCGGCTGATATTGAGAAGAATGGGAATCCCAGAACACTTAATTGTGTTCATGTGGAACTTATACCCGGACCAAGAGGCTGTTGTGTGAACAGAGCAGGGGAATACTGTATGGTTAAAATTGAGAAGGGTTGTATTCTCTCCCTGTATCTATTCAGTCTGCATGCTGAGCAAATTATCCAAGAAGCTGGACTCTATGAAGAGGAGTATGGCACCAGGATTGGAGGGAGACTCATCAAAAACCTGCATTATACAGATGATACAACCTTGCTTGCTAAAAGTGAGGAGGACTTGTTGCACTTGTTGCAGAAGATCAAGGAACACAGCCTTCAATATGGACTGCATCTCAATGTTAAGAAAATAAATATTCTTACCACTGAACCGGTAAGCAACATCATGATGGCTGGAGTGAAAACTGAAACTGTCAGTAGCTTCATCTTGCTTGGATCCACAATTAACACCCTTGGTACCAGAAGTCAGGAAATAAGGAGAAGCAGTGGGGAAATCGGCAGTTAGGAACCTCTCCTAATTATTAAGGACTTACAATATCAGTTTGAGGACTAAAAGTGCATCTGATTCAGGCTGTAGTCTTTCCAATTATTTCCTATGCATCTGAGAGCTGGACAATGAATAACAGAAAAAGACTGATGCCTTTGAGCTGTGGTGTTGGAGAAGAGCACTGAACATCCCATGGATGGCCAAGAGAATGAACAAGGTTTTCTAGACTTAGTGGTAAGGAACTGCACTGACAACTAAAAGGTATGTGGTTCAAATTCACCAGTTGCTCCATAGAAGACAGAAGTCAACCTCCTCCCATGTGATTTATTGCTTTTGAAAACCTGGTGGAGGGTCAGCTCTGTGTCAGTTCCATATCAATGGTACTCAACAACAATCTTCAGAGGTGCCAGTTAAGAACTCTAAGTACAGTCTCTGATGAGTTCAAGCTACCAACCTTAATCTGAGCACTTAAACCACAACAGCGCTCCATATATGACACAAACTAAAGCATACGTAATCTGCTCCTGAGTCAATTCCAACTCACAGTGACCCTCCAGCAGGTTTCTGAGGCAGCAAACCTTTATGGGAAGACACTGCTTACCTTCCTCCAGTGGTGCTTCTTGTAGATTCAAACCACTGACTTTTCAGTTAGCAGTCCTATTCTATTAAGCAGAATGTGTTAAATATAATCAGTGGAAATACATACAGAAACATTCTATCCCAGTTATTTCTGAATGACTTTGTTAAAACTTAACAGTGAAGGTCCTCTATTGTTGTCCACGCTGCAAAAGGAGGTGATGAAAGGGTATGTACAGGATTTTTGGTGTTTAGGGGTGGGTGGGTGTATGTGGGTGTGGTTTTTGTGTTTAATAAACAAAATTATGACCTGAGGGGAGGGGACCTCAATAGTGAAAAAGCTACAGAAAATATATCCTTAACATTAAAAATGTCCTTAAGATTTTCAATGGCCATAAAGCTGTGTAGGACTCATAGCGATTCTATAAACAATAGATCTGAACCTTGTGTTATCTTCTGCTAGCCTCATCATCCCTGAAACACTTAAGACCACTGCCGATTCACTCAAACAATCCATCTTTCTAAAGGTCCTCCTCTTTCACCAACCCTCCACATTTCCAAGCATGACGTCTCTTTCCAATAGCCTCTCGTTCAGCATTCCTTAAGCTCAAGGAACTGAAGAACAAATTCATGCCTCAAGTTGCTATAATCAAGGATGCTTTAGGCAGAATATTAAATGATCCAGGAAGTAGTAAAAGAAGATAGAAAGAATATACTGAGTCACTGTATCAAAAGGAATTGGCAGACACAGAAGAATTTCATGAAATAACATATGAACAAGAGCCTATGGTGATGAAAGAAGAAATTCAAGCTGATTTGAAGGAAATAGCAAAAAAATGGGCCCCAGGAATAGATGGTATACCAATTCATGTATTTCAGCTAATGGATGCTGCTCTGGATGTGCTCACCAAGTTGTGCCAAGAAATCTGGAGAACAACCACTTGGCCAACTGACTAGAGGAGATCTAGCTTTGTTCCCATTCCAAAAAAGGGTGACCCAACAGAGTGTGGAAACGATAGAATACCATTGATTTCACATGCAGGCAAGAATTTACTGAAGATTATCCAAAAACAACTGGAACAGCACAGCAGAGTACTGCCAGAAGACCAGACTGGGCTTAGAAGGGGTCGTGGTACTAAGGATATTGTAGCTGATGTTAGATGGATCTTAGCTGAAAGCAGAGAATATCAGAAGAATGTCTATCTGTGTTTCATTGATTATGCAAAGGCATTCGACTGTGTGGATCATAACAAACTGTGGCTGACTCTGAGAAGAATGGGAATCCCAGAACACCTTATCATGCTAATGCAGAACCTATACTTGGACCAAGAGGCAGTCATCAGAACAGAGCAAGGAAACAATGCATGGTTCAAAATTGGGAAGGGCGTATGCCAGGGATGTGTCCTGTCTCCATACCTTTTCAAGCTGTATGCAGAAGATTATACCTCTATGAGAGGTGCGGCATCAGGATTGGTGGAAGACCTATTAACAATCTGTGTTATGCAGATGACACAACCCTGCTTGCTGAAATTGAGGAGGACCTGAAATGCTTGCTGCAGAGGGTCAAGGACTGCAGCCTTCGGTATGGATTGAAGCTCAACATCAAGAAGACAAAGATTCTCACCAATGAACCAATTGGCAGCATCAGGATAGATAGTGAAGAGATTGAGATTAACAGCTTTAGTCTGCTTGGCTCCACAGTCAACACTCTTGGCACCAGTAGCCACGAAATTAAAAGACGTATTGCCATGGGAAAGTCTGCTTGATGTCAGGGACCTCTCCAAAGTACTGAAGAGCAACAGTGTCTCCCTGGAGACTAAGGTGTGTGTGATACAGGCCATGGTCTTTGCTATCACTTGTTATGCATCAGAGAGTCGGACAATGACTAGGGAGGACACGAGAAGAATTTATGCCTTTGAGCTGTGGTGCTGGAGAAGAGTATTGAGGATACCATGGACTGCTAAGAAAACAAACAGATTCATCCTTGAGAGGGTTAAACTGGGCTGCTCCTTGGAGGCAAGGACTCTGAGGCTTCGTCTGACATACTCTGGACATGTTGTAAGGAGGCACCAGTCCTTAGAAAGGGACATCATGCTTGGGAAGGTGGAGGGACAGCGTAGGAGGGAAGACCCTCTATGAGACGGATTGATTCAGAGACTGGGATAATTGGGATGGGTGTGTCAAAGGCAGTGCAATTGGCACAGGATAGAGCAGGGTTTAGGGCTGTTGTACATAGGGTCACTATGAGTCGCAAGCGACTCAACGGCACGTAACAACAACAACACTAAGAATATGCCCAAAGTCTGTGAGACAAAGTTTTGCTATCCTTGCTTCTAAGGAGCACTTTGGTTGCACTGTGACCAAGATATATGTTTGCTCTTTCAGCAGTTTCAGTACTGATATCAGTACTCTTCTCCAACATCACAACTCAAAGGAAGGCATTGATTTTTCTTCTGTAATCCTTCATCATCCAGCTCTCAGATCATAGCAGGCAACTGGAAAAACCATGGCTTGAATCAGGTGCACCTTAGTTTTAAGACTGATATGATTGCTCTTCAGGACTTTGGAGAGGCCTTGACAACATATTTTCCCAGTGCTGTATGTCTCCTGATTTTAAGTACCAAGAGTGCTAACTGTGAATCAAATAATTATAATACAGCAACAGAATTAATAACATATATTGGGCTGTTAATTGAATGGTTTCAATTTAGTAAATACTCCACAGAAGATGGGCAGAATCCTACCATAGAGATTTACAGCTTCAAAAACTTAACAGAGAGTCACCATGGGTCAGAATACACTAGGCAGTGATGGGTCTAGGGAATGAAAACCTTTGCAGAAATTAAACTAGAAGCTGAATAACTATCAGGCATACTGAAATAAGATTCATAAAGAAAGCTAAATTTGGTAATCTCATCATCTTTGGCATCAGAAATACAAGAATTGAGTCTTGATTCTATCCTGCATTTGTGTGTAATTTTGGTAACCTTTACTGATATCATTTTAACTGCATTTTCTGAATCTCCGTTTTCTAAGATAAAATACTGTATATTTTACTATTAAAATTAAGTGACAAATTGTATGCAATACTGCCTGGGACATAAAAAGTGATTAATAAACACTACTTTATAACCTTTGACTTATCACACAATTGATACTTAAAAATACCATAGTCAACATAATTTTTCTTATTATTGTGATTGCTGTTAATGTATAAGGAAACAGTAAGTCATTGACAAATAAAAAG